AGACATTTGCTATACTTTTAAAGAATCTCAGGAGCCAATCTAGTGTGAACTTATTATATGCTGTAAAATAGAGGACTACACAACAACAAGACTAAAACCAAAATGGGCAACATATTATATTCCTATCAAACTTATAAGATAGAAAAGGATATATCTATACAGAAGAGCTAGTATAACTAACAAAGAAAAATATATTTTTGGTTTTAGCATGCTTCGAAAAACAGCTTAGTCAGCTTAGGTCACTTAAAGTAACCCAAGGCCCAATCTCCCACTTATTTTTTCCCACAATTATATGAGACCTCAACATCTCGACTGGACTGCAAGTTCGACCTCGCCTGTGTCTTATCAGCATCCTTAACAAAATCCGAGCCCGAGTTGTGCGAGTCAAATGGGGACATGTTGCTAAAACACTAAACAGCCACAGGTACTATTAGGTCAAAGGTCGGATGCGCCTGTAAAGGCAAACCAGAACCCTTTGATATTTCTACACAGTTTAATTATCGGTCCTTTACCACCGTACTCTTATTCTATATTTATTTATGGTGTCGAAAACCTACTTTATCGGAATATAAGTAACATCGTCGATTAACATTGCAAAAATATAAGTTAGCCTTAACGACGATTTCGCCACAAATGTGTACATGGGCGGCCTAGATTGATTTGAAATGCACGTCCACCCTCCGACCGAATGGTACTCGTAATGGTAACATATCTCACTTATACGTTCACTAGCACAACCCTGTTTCGAGGACTGTTGGTGGCGTTGTTGGTTAAAACTGTAGTCCAACCCAGCTAAGTCTGAATGAGAAAACCGTTTGGGTAGCAAGACTAAATGAAATGTTGGTTTCACCCAGTTTTCGCAACTCAGTCAGAGCGACAGGGAGACCTTGAGGAATGCATCTAGTCCTGCGTCCTCTGGCATAGTATTCGGGATCTTCAGCGTCGGACCATTTACTTGGTACATTCGCAAACGCTTCCTCGGCATCGAAGTCGGAATCGTCAGTCTCCACAAGGTCTCCTTGACGCCATGACCAAGTTGTGAAGGCTAGGTCAAATCGATACACTTACAGCTAAAGGAGACTGCGACCAAACAGAAGGCCGCACAATCTTGGTCTTCATATCTAAGACTATGTGAAATTTAATGGAAAGTGATTGTGGGAAAACTCAATTATCAGTTCCTCATCAGCCTTCGCAACCTAGGGCGACTAGACATCTTGATTTAGGAGTTAGTGATAGTCTTGTTGACCTTATTTATGTGAATATTTATTTTTTTTATTGCTAACTACGGGATGACTTATTTCCGGAGTAAACGAGTCCTGCATAAGAATTTAAGAACCTTCCAGGATAAGAAGTTGAAAAAAATTCCCTATTGGTACTTAAATCTGCCTTAACAACCTAGGCTGTTTGTGCTATGAGGAAAAAGTAAGCTTCTTACAACATCCCTTGCCGGAAAAGATATTTGATGTTACGAGAGTAAAGCTTCTAATAAGACCTAAACCATTAATGCCACATATCAACGAACCGATAGACCTGCCATCAAAGGATTCTTGCTAGAGATAGCATGGTGAACCTCGATATTGATAATCAAAACAATAATCTAGCCTTGTTAGGGGGACCTTCATTTCGAATGAAAATGCATGAAGAAGAGATTAGTTGGTCGATCTCACCAGATGAGGACGGATTAATCTCGTTGTACTGCAGCCGTTTGGCTTTATGCGATATTCATGTTGAAGCAGTCCACGAGACTTCCTCCCTCGTTTCGGGTGAAAACGTGCTGAGC